GGATCCGAATCCACGAACCCCGGGCTGCAGAAGCAGTGTGCTGGAACTTAACCACTTGCCACCAGGCCAGCCCCAATACTTTCTAAAAACCTCAGAACCGCTGATCTAGCCCATCCTCCACAGCCGAAGCACAAATTCCCCTCCCAGGAATTTGAGATGCCTCCAAGGACAAAAAACTCACTGCAAAGGCGGCGCGTCGAGGGAACAGGCAGCCCACGTTTCAGCCAGCTCTGCCCACTAGGGGGCTCTTCCCCTTCGCCTCCCTCCCGCGTGGCTGTAACTCCCCCTCGTTCCCGCCATAGAGCCCCAGGCAGCCCCCTGCTCGGCATTTACACCCTCAGACACCTGAAGGGAAGGAGGGCCCCGCGGCCCACGGCTGCGCGCGGACTAAAATGGGAGGAAGCCAGAGAAAATGCTGGAGAAATGGAGAAAGGGCAGCGGCAGGGACGCGGGAGGGAAGGTGGGAAGCGCGCGGCGGAGTCCGGGGGTCCCGGGGCGCCAGACTGAGCGCGGACGGGAAGAGGCCCCGCTGAGGCACAGAGCCAGGGGCAGGGCCTGCTTTGGAAAGGGGATACTCGGCTCGCGGCAGGGCGGCCCGCGGGGTAAACTGAGGCTGAGGGGGTTCAGTGAAGAAGGTCGCTGTGGCCGGGTGGGGAGCAGGCCTGTGGGAGGGTGGGTTTAACGAGGCGGGTGGGCCGGTGTGGTTTAGGGAAGGGGCGTCGGGGTCTAGGGAGCTGGTCTCACGGGGGGCGGCCCCGTTTGGGGAGGGAGATACCACGGCCCAGTTCGCACCGACACGCCGGGCTCCGGCAGCAGCTCCAGCGCGCAGGCCAGGCAGAGGCGTGGGGGCACCGGCAGCAGCCAGCGCGGGTCGTGCCGGTAATGGGCCCTCTCGAAGAGCAGCGCCGCCTCTTCGTCCCTCCTCAGCCGCGGAGGGCCTGCCGTCGCCTCCCTCTCAGCCATCTCTCAGCTCGCACTTTGCCGCTGCTGCACCTTTTCCCGCGCAGTTTCTGCGCAAGCGCACTTGGAAGAGCCCTGAGCCTGAGAGCGGGAGGGTAATGCGCCTGCGCAAACGGAGGGCAACGCAATCTCAGAAGAGCAGCGGCTGCTGAGGGCGCCTGATGGGCACCGGGAGGCTAGAGGGCGTTCAAGTCAGTCAGAGCCGGTTAGCTCTGAGTCATCAGGAGTTGGTCTTCACCACACTGAAGGTTGAAAAAGCATTACAGGAGCCAACCCAGTGGCCTAGTGGTTAAGTTAGGTCCCGTCCTCTTTGGCGACCGGGGTTCTGATCCCAGGCACTGATCTACACCGCTTGTCAGCAGCCATGCTGTGGGGGCGACCCACATACAAAGTAGAGGAAGACCCGCACAGATGTTAGTTCAGGGCCAACCTTTCTCAAGGAAAAAAAAAAGCACTTATAAAGCAGTTATCGTTAGCCTTAAGAAAGAAAGGAAAGGAAGCAGTCTGTTTCTACAATTAAAAAATTACAATCTCAGAGATTCTTATCTAAAAGCTATTAGTATTATTATTTAAAATTTACGTGACACTTTTCAAAGAATCTAAGACGTTCCCCTTAAAATATCCTCTCACAGACGGCTGCACAGCACTTGAGACTTTGTGAGCACACAAGGAATGCTGAAGAAGAAAAAGTGGTTTATCATTAAATACATCAACAATAACAAGCTGTCAATCTACAAGGATTAATTTAGCACCAAAGTGCCCAGCAATGGGTTAATGTTGAAGGAGATAAGTTCAAGAGGTGTTTTCTACGCTCAGAAGCAGTGTGACTGAGTGGAAAAATGCTTTCCATGGCAGAATAGTTTGGAAAACAATGGTTTGTTATTCCATGGAGTGTTATGAAATAATGTTCGAGAAAAGTTAAGATGGAAAAATTCTTGTTAAAATGCTAAGTGTACAAAAGATGCAGAATTATATATACAAGTATATAAAATAAATAAGCAAAAAACATTTATTCGACACATGTTAAATACGTTATACCAGTAATACATGTTCAATGAAGAAAATAAAAGAAAAAATATTTTTATATTTTCTTCTAATCTTTTTCTATACATTGTTACAACAGCAACATACAAAGGTATGTAAACTGCTTTTCTCAGAGGAAAATATATCATGTACATCTTCCATATCATTAAATATTATTCATGTATTTTCTAAATGCCAACAAAGGATGTATTCTTTTTGACAAAATTTTGACCCAGGAGCTATGCTAGGAGCTAGAAAATTCAAAAGTGAGCAAGAGACAGTCCCTCTCCTCAAGGAACTAGAAGTCCAGTCAAGGAGACAGACAAGCAAATTATTGTAATAGAGTATGTGTGTAATAGTTATCTATTGCTGCATAACAAATTACCCCATATAATGGTTTGGTGACCCTCAAAGAGATATCTCTATGTCTGCTATGGACTGAATTGTACCCCCCAAATTCAGATATTGAAGCCCTAAACCCTGATGTGACTGTATTTGGAGATAGGGCCCTCAGGAAGTAATTAGATTCTGTATTTGGAGATAGGGCCCTCAGGAAGTAATTAGATTAAATGAGGTCATAAGGGTGGGACCCTAATCCAATAGCCTTGGTGGCCTCATAAAAAGAGGATAAGAGAAAGATCTCTCTCTCCAGGTCCATGCACCTAGGAAAGGCCATGTGAGAACATAGTGAGGTGACCATCTACTTGCCAGGAAGAGAGCTCTCCCCAGAAACTGAACCAGCCAGAACCTTGATCTGGGACTTCTAGCTTTCAGAAAATAAATTTCTGTTGCTTAAGCCCCCAAGTCTGTGGTGTTTTGTAATCGCAGCTAGAGCAGACTAATATAGCATCTGAATCCCCGGAACCAGTAAATGTTACCTTACTTGGAAAAAGAATCTTTGCAGTTTTAATTAAGTTAAGGATCTTGAGATGAGGAGATGGTCCTGGAGTATCCAATGGGCCCTAAATCCAATGACAAGTGTCTTGAGAAGAGACACACAGAGTAAAGGAAGATGATGCAGTGTGACCACGGAGGCAGAGACTGGAGTGATGGTGCCACCAACAAAAAAAATGCAGCCACCAGAAGCTGGGAGAGACCAGGACATGATGTTCCCTAGAGCCTTTGGAGGCAGCGTAGCCCTGCTGACACCTTGACTTCAGACACTGACCTCCAGGACTATGAGAAAATAAATTTCAGTTGTCTTAAGCCACCAATTTGTGGTAATTTGTTACAGTAGCTATAGAAAACTAATATCCCCCAACATTTAGCAGCTGAAAACAACAAACATTTATAATCTCCTAGTTTCTGTGGATCAGGAATCCAAGCACGGCTTAGCTAAGTGACTCTGGCTCAAGGTCTCTCCTGGGATTTTAGTCGTCTCAAGACTCACTAGGGCTGAAGGATCTGCTTCCACACTCACTCAAATGGTGGCGTGATTCAGTTCCTCAAAGGCTGTTGGATTGAAGGCCTCACTTTACTGATGGCTGTTGTCCACTGGCCTCCTCAGTTCCTTGCCACATGTGCCTTCTCATAGGACAGTTCACAACATGGAGGGCGGCTTCCCTCAGCGAGCAAGCAAGAGACGAAGAGAAGTGTGTGCCCAAGATGGAAACTAGAGTCTTTGTAACCTGTTCTCAGAAGTTACATTCCATCATTTCTGCTGTATCCTATTTGTTAGAAGTGAGTCACTAGATCCAATCCATACTCAAGGAGAAGAGAATACATAAAGGCATGAATACCAGGAGGTAGGGAGCATCGGGAGCCTTGTTGGAGGCTGCTTACCACAGTCTAAGTGCTATCTATAGCAGAGGTAGGCATGAATTGCTATGGGAACACCCTATGGGTAGCAATGCATAGGAAGAAAGACATCAAAACATTAAATGATGGGATTATGGATTATTTTTCCTTTTCTGAATTTTCTAAACTCTTTAATGAGCATATATGGGTTTCACAATTAATTAAAAAATAGGAAAGCTATGCCCATCGACTGATGATTGGATAAAGAAGATGTGGTATATATATACAATGGAATACTACTCAGCCATAAAAAAGACAAAATCATCCCACTTGCAACTACATGGATGGACCTTGAGGGTATTATGTTAAGCGAACAAGCCAGACAGAGAAAAATAAACACTGTGTGATTTCACTCATATGTGGGAGATAAACTAACACACGGACAAAGAGAACAGTTTAGTGGTTACCAGGAGGAAAGGGGTTGGGGGGTGGGTACAAGGGCAGAAGGGGCACATTTATATGGTGACTGACTAATAATGTACAACTGAAATTTCACAATGTTAGAAACTATTATGACCTCAATAAAAAAATAGGAAAACTAAATGAAAGGGAAGAAAGGGAGGGAGAAAGGAAAGAAGGGAGGGAGGATAAAGGATAGAAAAGGAGAAAACCTGAATTAAGTTCCCAGCTCCACCACTCACTGATTTACGCTCTGTGAATCTGTTTCCACCTGCTGAAGCTGTCTACAGAAGTATCATAAAACATACAGCCCTTTGGCTCAGAAGTTTCAGACTTGATTAAAACAGTTAGCTCCAGGATGTCCCACAGGTGGACCAGGCAAAGCAACAAGTAATCATGGTTGGCAGTGCTTGAGAATGGGGGGAGGGGGGGTTTCCATGAAGTCTGTTTATGGGCAGCAGAATCCCAGCAGGACAGATGCCCAGTGATCAGCTCCCTTCCTTGTGATCAAAAGGACCTGAATAACTGTGTCCAGTGCAGAGCACCACCCCTCCCCCCAAGCAGCTGAGGCTGTTTGAATGTCCTACCTCAATCAGAATTAGCTTGGAATAGGGCAGGACAGAACCATGACAGAAACCTCAGTGAACCCTACTGTGAGGAGCTGGTGAGGGGAAGTACTTAGGAGATGACAATGGGTTGACCCACATTCCCCAAACCTTCAAAACCATAGGGTAGAAGTGGCTTCTATCCACCAACAAAGTGTCTCAAACCCTAAGGGGGCAGGTCAGAAAACACATGCCAAAGAAATCAGAACCCCACGGAACCCAAAAAACCAATTTTATTAGAGACTTTGAGGGTGAGCAGCCACTCTCATGCCTTCTCTGGTGTATTCTGAGAACTCTGTGTCTGCCACCTACTTTCTAAAGCCATGTTGGAGCAGAAAACACCTCAAATGCTTCATAAAACCAAACTTTTTGGAGGCTAGTGGATTTTGTGGGGCACAATGGGGGTTCTCAGTTTCCCCTTGACCCTGGGGGCTCTCTGTCTTGGGAAGAGCAGCCCCAGCACAGCAGTGACCTGGTGGCTGAAGTTCCCTCTCCAAAGAAGCGTGGACTCCCATGCTGTCCTTCCTTGCATGTGGGTCACCCACTTTGGGAAGCAGGGTATGATCAGGATCCCTCAGGCTCAGGTTGGGCGCTGAGTGCTGGGGATTGGCCGGGTGTGAGGACCAGGATATCTTGTCCAGAAGGGTCATGCTCAGCCTCGCTACAGCAGAGTGAAGACTCCCTTTGAAGCTGGAGGCGTCTGTGGAACAGGAGCAAGCCTGCTGCCCAGGCCCTCTGCCCTCTGCAGGCTCCAGTCTTCCTCTTCTCCAGTGGGTGGGCTGCTGACATTTGAATCTGGGGGGCTTAGAGGCCTCCTGGGATGTGTGCTCCTTCTTCCAGTGGTCGTGGCCTATCCTGGAGTATGAGGTCCTCACTCTGCTGGGATCCCTCTTTGCCATCTGGGAGACCCCTGGCCTGACCATTTTCCTGCCCCTGCTATTCTCACTGGAAGGCTCTCCAGCTCTTTCTTGGCCACACCAACTCCTAGATTCTGCCGCAGGCCTTGGGTTTCTGGGAGCAGGGAGGTTGGCCCTAGGAGGAGCCTCTTCCTGGACTTTCTGTGGTTCTCTGGGGCCCCCTGGTGGCCTGACTCTCCTGGGCTTTTCAGGATGGATGGAAATGCCCACTGGCTGTGACCCGTGTGATCCACACTTCTCCAGAGCTCTGGCCTGTATAGGAAGTTTTGAGCTTTTTCTTTCTGGGGGCTGAACCCTCTGAGACCTCTCTGGGGACTTAAGGCCTGGCCTGGAATCCTGGGCCTCACAATGACTTTCCTGCTGCCCTTGGAGCTCACAGGCTGTGTATAATTTGGGGAGCCTCACCTCAGCAAGGGGCAGTGGGCGTGGTTCTAAGACATTAAAGAGCACATGGGACTCCAGGATCCGCTGCGGGAGGCCCCACTTCAGGTGCGCAATCTTTCGCCGCATGAGGGACTCCAGGAGCAGTCGTTGGCTCTTCTTGAGAACTGGCCACTTGGGAAGGATTGTGAGGGCAGTAGGAGCAACCACCAGAGCTGTGGCAGCTTGAGGGGCTTGGCTACAAGAGACAGGGGAGTAGGCAGAGGGCAGGCCCAGGGGAGCAGCCAGAGATGGTGGGTTCTGGAGCCGCTGAGTCAGGCCAGAGGCCTTCCCTAGATCCACCCCTTTGTCCCTTTGTCGGCTTCTCCGGGGTTTAGGTTGGGCCTGCCAGGAGGCTGGACTGACCCTCGTTCTGTGCTTTCTGGTAGGTGCCATCCTCTGGACAGCCAAATGTTCTCCCTCCCCACTGGGAAGCCAGAAGAGTTCACCCTGGTCGAGGAGAGGCTCTATCTCAGGACAGGGAGCAGAGGCCACTGCCTGGTCTTGTCCCATGGCCCCATATCTGGAGCCAATGAGAGCTGGGGACTCCTCACCCTCTGAACAGTCAACTTGGAAATTACCTTTAGCAGCATCCTTTCCTCTGACCTTGTCCTTGTTTCCTCCCCTTGGAACTTGAGGCCCACCAGCATCCTCAGCTCTGCACTTTCTCTGGCTCCCTATGTCCCAGATTTCTGCAGCATCCTCATCTCCACCCTTGTTCTGGTTTCCTTGCCCTTGTAGCTGGACCTCTCCATCAATTTTACTTCTTAACTGTCCCTGGTAATCTCCCCCAGGAGCCTGGGTCTCTGTACCATCATCACCTGTGGTCCCTCTCTTCCCTTGTATTTGAATTTCTGCACCATTCTCACCTCCAATCTGCTCCTGGTGCCTCCACTCTGATAAACAGGTCTTTCTATTAACTTTACTTTTTAACAGTGTCTGGTTCCCTCCCCTAAGGCTCTGGATCTTTCTATCATCCTCATTTCCAAACTCTCTCTGGTTTCTCTTCTCCAATATCTGATTTTCTGCATCATTCTTTGCTGCAGTCTGCTCCCAGTTCCTCCTCCCTAGTGAATGGCTCTCTCCGATTGTACTATCTAATTGTCCCTGGTTCTCTCTCTTAGGTTTCTGGATCTCTACCCCATCCTCACCTCCAGCTTCTCTCTGGTTTCTCTTCTCTGGTGCCTGAATTTCTGTTCCATTCTCACCTCCCATCTGCTCCTGGTTCTTCCACTCTGATAAATGGGTCTTTCTTTCAATATCACTTCTTAACTGATCCTGGTTTTCTTCCCCAGGTACCCAGGTCTCGTTATCACCCTCACCTCTAGCTTCTCTCTGGTTTCTCTTCTCTGGTGCCTGAATTTCTGTTCCATTCTCACCTCCCATCTGCTCCTGGTTCTTCCACTCTGAAGCATGGGTCTTTCTATCAATATCACTTCTTAATTGACTCTGGTTTTCTTCCCCAGGTACCCAGGTCTCAGTACCATCCTCATCTCCAGCTTCTCTCTGGCTTCTCTCCTCTGGAGCTTGAATTTCTGCAACATTCTCACTTCCAACTTGCTCTTTTTTCTTCCATGCTGCTGAATGAGTTTCTCCATAAGTTTTACTTGTTAATTCTCCCCAGTTCTGTGCCTCAGATGCCTGGGTATTTGCACCATCTTTGCCTCTAATGTGTTCCTGATTCTTCCACTTTGGCGTGTGAATCTTAATCTTTGCATTAATTTCACTTCTTAATTGACCCTGGTATTCTTTCCCAAGTTCTTGGATGTCTTTACTATCTTCACCTTTAACCCCTCGCAGATTTCTCTGCCCTGGTGCCTGAATGTCTGTACTGTTCTCATCTCCAAACTGCTCCTGGCTCCTCCTCCCTGGTGGATGGGTCTCTATGTGAGTTTCACCTCTTAATTGCCCCTGGCTCTCTGCCTCAGGTACCAGGGTATTTGTACCATCTTCATCTCCATCCTTTCTCTGGTCTCTCTTCTCTAGTGCCTGAATTTCTGCTCTATGTTCACCTTCAATCTGGTCCTGATTCCCCCAACATGGTATCTCCAATTCTTTGTCAATTTCACTTGCTGCTGGTCTCTGGTCTTCCCACCATGGTGCCTGGATCACTACCCAATCCTCTTCTCTTATCTCCCTGAGGTTCTTGCTTCTAGATATCTGAGTTTCCCCTACATGCTCCCCTCTTCTCAGGCCTTGGTTTCCCCACCCCACTCGAAGTTCATGTTTTAGTTGTTTCTGGATCTTTCCTCTAGATGCTTGGATCTTCCCAGGTTTCTCACTTCCACCTTGATCCTGCTGCTCCCACCCTGATGTCTGGATCTCTGTAACATCCTCACTTCCAATGCATTTCTGTTTTCCCCACCCAAGGGCCTGGGTCTCTATGCCATCCTCTTTTTTTACTTCTCCCAGGTTCTCCCTCTCAGATATCTGGGTTTGCACAACAGTCTCACCTCCATCCTGGTCCTTGTTTCTCCTCTCTTCTGCCTGAATTTCTGTACCAGTATCACATCTAAGCTGGTCTTCTTTTTGCCACCCTGGCACCTGGGTCTCCTCACCATTCTCACTTCCAGTCTGGCCCTGCTTACCTAATCCTTGGGCCTGGGTCTCTCCTTCATCCTCCCCTCTGGCCTCTCTCTTTTTCTTCTCAAATACCTGAGTCTCTACAGCATCTTCATTTCTACTCCCATCCTGTTTCTCCCACTCTGGTATTTGGGTCTCTGCATCAATTTTACATCTTAACTGTTCCTGGTTCTCTCCTCTATGTGTCCAAGTTTCAGGAGGATTTTCGCCTCCAGCCTCCCTCTGGTTTCTCTTCCCTGGTTCCTGAATTTGGGCTCTATTCTCAAATCCCACCTGCTCCTGGTTCTCCCAACCTGGTGTCAGGATCTCTCCATAAGCTTTTCTTATTGCTAGTTTCTGGCTTTCCTGCTCCAGGACCTTAGTCTCTGCATTGTCCTCCATCCTAACATTTATTGGAAGTTGCCTTCCAGATGCCTGCATTTCCCAAGCATCCTCCCCTTTGCTCTCTCTCTGCTTCACCCACCCTGGAATCTGGATCTCTCTACTATCCTCTCTGCCTAGTGTTTGGTTTTCCCTCCTTTGTGCCCAGGCCTCTTGGGGGCAGCCCCAGGACTTCCAGATGGGCATTCCTACTTGTTGGTTGGAAGGAACAGGCAGGAACTCTCTGGAACGGAATTGCAGCCTCTGAGCTGAAGGGAGGTTTGGGAGAGAGGCTAAAGTCACGGAGGTAGGGTGGGATCTCATGCTGACAACATGCTCCAGTGGCACCAGTTCTTCCTGGGAGTGGATCAGCAGCTGCTCCATCCTTTGGTACATGTCCAGGGCAGGGGGCAGTGGCTTGCAAATCGGGTGAGTCTGGTCATCACTGAGACACCAGGGTACCTGCCATGCTTCCCAAGAACTGTCCTGAGGGAGCATACAGGTGCTTGAAAAGGAGGTGGTGCAAAAGATGGGCTCAGAAGGGGTGTAGAAATCCCAAGGTGAGTCCTGACCTGAGTGCTGCCAAGAGAACAGGTATTTGGTCCATGATTCCTGGAGGCTCCTCTGGTATTCCCATCTCTTCTTTTGTGCCCATTGTTGGATATGAGCATCCAGGCCCCTGAACTTGCCAGGACTGAAGAATTCATGGATCAGACCAAAACAAGTGTCATGTCTCCTGGAGGGCACTGCCCACTTCTGTGGTGGCACCTGTAGGTGAGAACAGAGAAGCAAAATCCTTGCACACACATGTCTCATAGATCAGAATTATAATCCCCATTATCCATCCAGATGAGGATGCTGGGGGCCAGGAAAAGGTGAGTCACTTCCCTTAGGGCTGATAGTATTCATTCATTCAAGAAAGATAGTTTATCCCAGGCCAGACACTGTTCTGGGTGCTGAGGGTACCAGCATGAACAAGACAAAGTCCTTGTTATGAGCTATCTTCTAGGTACAGAAGACACAATAACCAAGTATACAACATAATGCTAGTTATTGAAAGTGTTCTGATGGCAATAAAAGCAGAGTAGGAATGGGTTAGCTCCTTTGGACAGATTGGTAAGAGAAGGCCTCTCAGAGGAGGTAACATTTGACTGGAGACCTGAATGAAGTGAAGGGTAAACCAAGTGACATCTGAAGAAAGAGCATTGTAGGCAGAGAAGACATTAGTGCAGAGGCCCTGAGGCTGGAACAGGCCACATGTACAAGAACAGCAAGGAGGCCCATGTGCCAGAACGGAACGAGTGACAAGGAGAGCACTGGGAGACTAGGTCAGAGAGAAACACAGGACAGATCATTCTGGGCCTTGGAACTGTGGTTAGGAGTTGGATTTTATTCTGAGTTTGATGAGGAGAGTATCCATAAGAGCTGTCGGAGGGTTTTGAGCAGCAAAGTGCTATGAACTGTTTTTAGAAGTTTGTTCTGGCTCACAAGCATAATGTTAGGCTTAAACCAGGTGCACAAGAATAGTTACCACATGATTCCCCAGAGGCAAAACCAGTCTATGCTATTAGAAATCAGCATCGTTGCGACTGCAAGCTTCTGGGCTGCCGGTCATGGTTTGTTTCTCGATCCGGGTGCTGCACATGGATATGTTCAGTTTGTGAAAATTCAATGATCTACACACTTATAATCTGTGTAGGTATATTATCCTTGGATTAAATTTGTTTTTTAAAGAGAGGGCAAGAGGAAGGTCATTCCATCGGCTGCGTGGAGCGCTGACTGTGGGTGGGTGAGAGGCAGCAGGAACCAGGCAGAGGCAGTGCCTACAGTCCAGGTGAGACATGAGGGCGGCTTTGCCCAGGGGTGTGTGGTGAGGTTGCAAGAAGTGATCAGATTTGAGATATGGTTTGCAAGTAGAGCCTAGAGGACTTGTAGATGGATTAAATGTGTGGAGTGAGAGAGAAAGGAGTCAAGGGTGACTCCTGGGTTTGGGGCCTGATGGTGCTCTCCCTGACCAGTCTGAGTTCTCCAAGGTAATTCATCTCTGGTATACAGGGCATAGAACAGGGTTCTCATAACAAGTGACCGAGACAATCATAGTGCTAAGGGGAGGAATTTTGTGGGGTCCCTTCACCTTGATGACCTTCTTCATTCTGAGATGGCTCCTGGTGACCTGGCGCCAATACCGCTGGACCTGCCAGATCAGAAAGAGGCAGAAGATGAGTAGGTTGCCGCAGCACCGAGGGTCCCTGCAGCTGCGATCCTCAGAGAGCAGGTCCTGTACTGGCTCCCATTCAGAGCCCTGGAATGGCCCCACCACAGCACAGGCACCCAGCAGTGGCAGCAACATGACAAAGCTTAGGTTAGGCAGGTGGTGTGAGGGAGTTGGAAGACAGGACTGGTATGGCTGACCCAGCCAGTTTGTGGGGTGTAGTTCCTGCCTCATAGCACCTATGTCACTGAGGCCACCTCACAAAGGAGCCTGATGACCCAGCCTCAGCTCCAGCTGCTGAACCTGGCAGCAGGGCTAGCTAGCATACCTTCAAGGCAGCTAAGTACAGCATTGGGGAACTTCCCAAAAGGAATTAAGAGGATCAGGAATTTGTTTTAAACATCCTTGTCCTCTGGAGTGAAGAGATTAAGGTCTCCCCATGTATGATGGGGTGATGTAACCTGCAGTCTACTTGATTTCTTTCTTCCTGTCAGATATTTTCATCCATTTGTCCATCTGTCTATCCAATATCAAACATTTAATGAGCACTGTATTAAACATGTACATTCCAGTTTGACCACCCAGCATCCTTTCCTCTGTGCTCACAGTATCCTGATTTTCTATTGGGGAATTACTTTTCTCATCTCAGGATCAGTGTTGGCGGGAGAATAAATGCTGCCCTGAAGACTGTCTTTCATCTAAAGGTTATATTTCAAAATATTGACTGAGCAGGCAAGGACATCAGCTAGTAAGAATGGGCCAAGCCTTAACCCTTTAATAGCTCAATTGTAGGTGGTCCTGAGCATCCCAGGAGAGGGGCATTACCTATTTGCCAACCAGTTGGGAAGTATTTCTTTATTTTAAGAACACAATACGCCACATAATGAATCCTGGCTGAATGTCACCCTAGCTTATACCTAATACTCTCTCACAGACCCAGGACAACCAAGGAGTGGAGGTGTGACCTAAGTTGGGCCAACTGGGCTTTCTCTGCCAGGGCTCTAAATATCAAGAACAGAGATGCAAAGTAGGAATAGGAATCTGGTAAGAAAAAGAAAAGCAGCCCACGGCTGCTAGGAACTGGCTCAGCTCTATCAGTTAGGCCTTGATGTTGCTAGGAGCTGGCCTGACACTAATAGCTAGGCCTTAGTGTTCTCCTATTGAACATAATTTCACAGAACATCAATATCAGATAAAGCCACTCTAACTGTGAAAATCAAGACAAACACAAGACAAGTCCTTAATCTTGTCTGAATACAGACAACAACAAACCTTATCAAAACTACAAAAAGCACCAAACATCCCCTTATCCTGTTTAATATGAGTGACTACTATTCCTTTACCAGTTATAGCTTTAGCCTCACTTCAGTCCTTCCAACTTGTAGATAAGATTTATTAAGATGCCCAATCATAGAGTTACTCATACTTCTTTTTTTTCTTTTTTAAAGATTGGCACCTGGCTAACATCTGTTGCCAATCTTTTTTTTTTTCCTTCTTCTTCTCCCCAAAGCCCCCCAGTACATAGTTGTATATTGTAGTTGTGGTCCTTCTGGTTGTGCTATGTGGGATGCCACCTCAGCATGGCCTGACGAGTGGTGCTGTGTCTGTGCCCAGGATCCGAACCGGTGAAACCCCGGATCACCAAAGTGGAACATGCGAACTTAGCCACTCGGCCATGGGGCCAGCCCCACTCATACTTCTTAACAGCATCTAATCCAGAGCAAACCTCTCTTCCTTGAACTCTCCCCAAAATCACCCAACATGAGCTCAAATCCTATAGTAAATCCTTTATAACACCCTCTTATTGAGAAGCCCCACAGCTCCCCATGATGTGAATTCTCCCTTGTTGCAGTGAGTGATAACACCATAGGGGCGCTCCTGGTGGTCTTTGGCTGGAGGCCACTGACAGTGGAGGAAGTCTGTAAGGCTAGTCCCGCTCTCACAACCAGCTCCGTTTGAATCTCTGGGCTCTGCCACAAAGTCTTTTACCAAATTCCTTTTTGGTTGTTTGCCACCAAAGATCCCTAAGTGAAACAAGCAGTTCTTTTGGGCCAGGCATAGTGCCAGAAGATAGGTATCCAAAGTCCAAGGTAGCTAAAAGGCTTGCTCTCACAGAGTTCTCAGTATGTTTGGGAAGGTGGACACTGAATAAAGATAAGATCAAAGAGCACTATAAAGGGCAAGTACAAGGGGCTTGTGGATGGGGCCGGCCCGGTGGCACAGCGGTTAAGTGCACACGTTCCGCTTCGGCAGCCCAGGGTTCGCTGGTTCGGATCCTGGGTGCAGATATGGCACTGCTTGGCAAGCCATGCTGTGGTAGGCATCCCACATATAAAGTAGAGGAAGATGGGCACAGATGTTAGCTCAGGGCCGGTCTTCCTCAGCAAAAAGAGGAGGATTGGCAGCAGATATTAGCTTAGGGCTGATCGTCCTCAAAAAAACAAAAAAAACAAAAAAAACAAAGGGCTTGTGGGTCCATCCTCCAGGGGCAATTACCTGGTCTAGGTGATCAAGGAGGCTTCACTGAAGAAGTGATGAACAGGAGTTAGCTAAGCAGAATAATGGAGCATATCACTCCCAACAAAGGGTGATGGATGGGGTTGGAGAGATTGGGGTGTGCTCAGGGTAGAAAAAGGAGGTGGCTGGGCCTGTAATATGGGGTGGGGTGGGGAGTACTGATGGAGAGGGGCCTAGTAAGCCATGGCAAGGATTTAAGGTTTTAAGTGCAGAAGTGTGACAAAGGACAAATTGATCTTGAGCGTATGTCAATATTTATTAACTTACTAGCAAGGAAAACAGCAAGATATAAAAGGGTAGGCTAGTTTGAGAGAACATGGGAATTTAGTTATTAAATAGTTGGGAAACAGAATTAATTAGGTAAAGTGTATTGTATCATTATTCATAGTCATAAAAACATCAAGCCCCTATCGGTCATTACTGAGGAGATCTGGGATATGATGGCCCAAGATGCCAGGAAGGCCAAATAATAATCAGAAATTGTTATAAAGGACATATCTATGACTGTAAATTGGAATAATAAGGTTTCATTACCCAACAGTGATGGCTCATAGGTCCAATTAATATGGAAACATGAAACAGGATCCAAGAGAAGTAAGGAGGAGAGTCCAAATCACAGGTTCTACTCTTAAACAGGAGCCATCAGTGAGCTTTCTTAATTTGGAGACGAGCTTTTTTTCTTTGACAAATAATTTCGGATTTGCATGAGGTAAACTTTGATTGAGGGGGGCGAGTTGCTGTAACAAATGTTCAGTCCTGGATCCAGTTCAAACCCATCCTGTTGCCCAGGGCCACAAGTCCTCTCAGGCAGAGCAACCAGATGTGGTGGAAGTAACCAGACCAATAGCCAAAAACCCCAGGGTCCAGTTCTGGTTCTGCCACTGCCTCACTCTGTGACCCTGGGCAAGCAGCTTCCTTTTGATATCGAACCTGAAGTGAGTTCGCTCACCCGCTGCACAGCAAGCCAGTCTCTGACTCTGGGTGTAGTGGAAGAAAGTAGGAACTTTATTATTGCACAGAGCTGAGCAAGAAGTGAGAGCAGCTAATGCTGAAATCCCAAACTCCCCGAAAAGCTAAAAGAACAGGTTTTTATTTGGGTTTTAGGTAGGGGATGGGGAGAATATGGCCTTGCTGGTCAGAGCTTTCCCACCAGCCTGTCTTTGGCCTTGAGACTACTTGCAGAGAGGAGGGAGCCCATGACCTTGGTGGTCAGCAGCTTTCCCATCAGCCTGTATCTCTTTGCCAGGAGGAGATAATGAACGCAGGTGCTTGTCCTTGGTGGTGTCTGTCTCCATGGAGGATAGTGGATTCTGGAGGCAGGAAGCCAGGGAGTAAGCAGGGAATGAGTGCTTTGGTTTTAACCCTATATATACTGGGTTGAATGTAGGGAAACTGACATCAGGGCTGGCATCACTTTCTCTGGGTCTCAGTATCTGTAAAATGAAGCGGTTGCACTGCATGATTCCTAAGGGTGCTACCAGGTCTCTGCTTCTAGGTTTCCAAAGGAATTAACTGGAACTAGCCCATAATGGTCTAGTTTTGGCTAGAACCAAATGGTCCCAAGATGTGCCTGGCATCACGTTGAAGAGAGATGACAAAGGGCCATAAGGAACAGGGAGGACCTCTTAGAGGTAGTGAGGCATGAGTCCAGCCTTAAATAAAGTCTATTTAGAGCACATAGAGAAAAGAGCAGTATGTTAGCCAGAAGAAAACGGGTGTCCTAGGACATCTACGAACTCAACCTTACAGAAACTCAATCCCCACCCCCAAACCTGCTCTTCTTCCTGAATTCCCTACTCAATGAATTCCATTTCCAGTGGACTCCACTCCCCATCAGAAATTTTAACAAGGATCTCTGAATATGAAGGAAAAGATTTAGGATTACCTATCACCTCCATACCTTTCCCTCACCAGTGTAGGGTCACAAAGATGATTGTGAAAGCACAAGAATGCGATCAAAGATAAACTGGCAATGGAATGAGGACACCATTAAAACCTTTGTTTTGGTGTTATTTTTTGAATGTTTAATTCATTGTTTCCGCCAATAATTTATAGTAAAATGATAATAAAAACAGCAAAAAGCACCGCCTCGCCCACAACTTAAGCGCATCCCCCTCGGGTGCCCCTCAGGGAGTGAAGGCCGGCGGCTCGCGGTGACGTCACTTCCGTTTCCTGCCGCGCGCGGCCATTTCCACTGCTTCTGTGCGACTTTCCGGCCCAGGAGACCGCTCGAGTTCTGACGTCGCCTGCGCTCCGAGGGTGGCGAGACCGCGGAATCGCAGCCATGGTGAGTACGTGCTTCTGGCCCAACAGCCGCAACCCGGAGACTCGGGGTTCCGATCGCTCACTGGCCTGTCGGGGGCTGGAACGTGCGCGGTGTCGTCCGCCGGGCCCGGGGTTAGAGCTCCGGCCGCCGCCGAGTCCCAGCCACCCGGCCCGGAGTTAGTACTCGCGCAGCTGTGGGTCCCAACAGCCCGGCCCGAGGAGGGAACACCCGAAGCCTCAGGGTCCCAACTGCTGTGATCGAGCGGGGCTTTGCAGCAGTTTGTGCGCATGGCCGAAGGCCTCGGTGAGTGGATGGGGCATGGGCCGGCCTGGGAGAAAGAAATCAACCCACGTGAGAGAAAGTAGAAAGTTGGACGTGAAAACTTGGCCCCATCTTTTTTATTTTTCCTTTTGGGGGTCGCTA